AGAGGGGCACTCAGTAGAGAAGATAACTCTGCAACACAGCATTGATAATATTTGGCTCTCAAAAATATTAAAATGTGTCCATTGTTATCAACAGAAATGGATAAGTTTTTGTAGGACAATGAGGAACATTATTCTACATAAGTCTACCAAGTTTCATCAAAATTTTGACTGAGTTATAGAGCAAAAATAGTGTGAACAATTGGTCCCCATGATAATATATAGGGATTTTTTTTTATTTTCATGAGCTTGACCCTCCAAAACTAATCACTTTTAAATTAGGTCATAGACCAAGTGTATACCAACTTTCATCCAAATCTGTTCAGCCATTTTTGAGAAATCTTGCTGATAAACACACACACACACACACAGGGGTGAAAACATAACCTCCGTCCACCTTTGGTGGCAGAGGTAGTAAGTTAATTGTTTTAAATGTGTGTGGAAAAGAAAAAAAAATACTCAAAATTTTCCAAAGAAACTAGAACAGTAACTAATTAAAAAGACATGGCAGAAACATGATCTCTATAAAGTTCTGGCTACGAATTTACTTTTGTTTTCTGTGATTTTTAGTACCAAAGTAGTCTGAGGAATCATGGGTAGTGTGTATATACGCGCATGAGAAGTCCTGATTGGCTGCTACTTGACATCAAAGATATTTTATAATTGGCACCAAAAGCATGAGTAAGGGATTTAGAAACAGTTCTAATTTTGTTAGCACCACATGATATAAAATATCAGTCTTTTAAAAAAAGCAAGTGGAATTAAAGTTAACAGAACTCTTTAATTGGTGATCAATATTTTTGAATACAGGTACTAATTCTTTTTCTTTTTTTTTGCTGGTTTATTTTAAAGAAATGTGTATAACTACTACAGTATTCCACTCGTAACATATTAGAGCCGGTTATCTCTTTGTAAAGCACAACATATTGAAACACTGATGCTGTGAATTGAACTAGTTTGTTCAGAACAGCAGTGTCTGTTGTAGTCAGAGCACAGATAGCCCATTGTATAGCTTCGTGCTTAACTCCAAACAAACAAAAGAACAAATATAAGTATGTGAATAAAAAAAGTTTTTTTTTCTTCTTTTGGAATGATAATAATAATAATAACATTAATCTGTGTAATCAGTATGATATTGATAATTCTGAAGTTTCTGTTGTTTGAGTGAAAGTGCACATCTTTATTATGTAAAGAAGACGGTAATTACCTTTCTGGAGTATTTTATTACCATGCCCTAGAAGAGCTGGATGATTAATGGCATTTGATAATCGATAAATTGTCAGGCTCATTAATAAATTATGTTCAACTAATCAATTATTCTCATACGAGTGAGAAAATAGTAATAAACAAAAAATACTAATTTCAGTTTGTTGATTATTTTTGCAAGTCCTGACACAAATTGATTAAGCTGAACAACCTCAAATTAGTCAGAAATAATGAAGAGAATCATAACGGCAATCGAAAATGGTATTGACCGGAGAAACTAATTTTGATGAATTGATTATTTTACCTGACAGTAATCAATGCTCATAGTTAATAAAATATATTGATTACTTGAGTTGATTGCCAAGTGTATATTGCTGAATTCACACTATTGTGTTTTTTTTTTCCTTTCACTAAAAAAAAACTTCACTGATTTTAAAACGGTGTGAAATGTTTATCCAAGTTTTAAGAAATTATATGGAGTATGAAAACTAGAAATATAAAAAATTTTGAACAAAATGGTACTGAATAAAATTCATCTTATTTTGTGACCGGAAACATTTAGATAAATATGAAGAATGTGTAAAAGAAAAAAAAAAAGTTTTGTCAGGAATAAAAAAAAAAATATACCAAAAATAGTTTTTGCCATTTTTGTTATAGCTCACACGTGTACCGTTTATAATACAAGTGAATGTGGAGTTGTTTTAGAAAACGCTTTTACGTAAGGAAAATTCGAAGAAGGTTTGAAACAATGTTTGTGTACAGCACCACCTACTGGTAGTTTTTGGTGAACTAGAAAAGGATTGTCCATATTATGAGAAAAAAATATATTTTCTCTTAATCGTTTCACTATTTGGCCACTTTTTATTTTCCGTTTTACATAAAAGTACAGCTAAGAACTGTTGGAACGAGTTAACCAAGATCCCGGGTAACCTTTTGAATGAAACTGATTTCACTGTCTTGTTCAACAATGGCTCTTAGGTTTTTTTTAATGAGTACTAGCTTTAGGTAGAAAATATTTTCAAATATGCTATCAAAAATTGAACTCAAATAGTTTATTTGTCAGTGGTATAAAACACCTATTGCATAATTTGTTTTACCTGTTAATAGCCTGAATAGGATTTTTTCTGATTTCTCCTGGTTGGTCTGTTTGTTAATGTAAACACTGACGTGTGTTGAAATTACAAGAGAATCAGATATTTTTAATGTTATTAATATTTGATCTGTTATTATGTAGCAACTGTAAATTGTATGTAATTTATGATTTACGGGCATGGATTTAGCTTAATTTAGTTGTCTAAGTAGCTTTTGACTAAGATTTATTTTTTATTTATTTTTTGGAATTGAAAATATAAAGCACCAAATACTACAGTTAAGCATTTTTATAGTTGTTTTATTTTAATAATAGATACAACAATCATATGAGAAGTGTGACCAATTTGTTTGTATGTCCCAAATACTATAATGGAATTGATTTTTGCTAATGTTACCCCACTTTTGGTACAGACAATATTTTTTTAGTCAATATCAGTACTTTATTTAGCTGAGGTTATTTTGGTGTAGGCATGCATATACATGGAAATAGATTTATGTTTTAAAGGTGGTGTGAGTGTTTTTTTTGTTTTTTTTTGAGTTCTGACACGTGTACAGATAATCGCTTACTCTTTCCTTGTGGAAACCTTTTATTATTTGTTTCAAAATATCTACAGGGTGTCCCAAAAGTTTGCACTCATGTCCATTCTGTTATGTATAACTGTTATTTTATTTATTTTTCAGGTAAATGAAAAAAATATATATGTAATGTGTGATTGTAGGAATCAAGAGAAAGTGTGTATACATGTATGCAATTTGATGTCATACATTTTGAAAAAATTGTTAAAGTAAAGGTTAATAGTGAGTTCTGCCTATAAGTATGGACCTTTGGGGCATCTTGTGTAGTGACTTATCTTAATGGAACATTTAGTTTTTTAGCCACAAAATAGCGGTTCATAGAATGGCTCCGAGTTCTTTTCAAGTACAAACTTTTAGGTCGTAGCTTTTGTCATCTCTTGACCGATTTGAGATCT